ATGTGGTAATTGAGTGTTGTGCAGTGAATTGTGCCTACAGTTTTGCAAAGTGTGTGTTACAAAATTGCAAACTGAGTGCAAAGCAGTTTTTGTGCTTTTAGTTTTGCAAACTCAGTGAGTGGTTTTGCTATAAGTCTGAATAGTTTTAGAGATTGTGCTACAGGAATCACAGTTAGGGTTTAAGCATTCAGAAAAAACTGTAACAGTTTTGAAAACAGTATGTAAGCACATGCAAAATGTCCTGTCCGTACAAAGCTTTTTGGCAGTTGTTGTGTCTGAGTGAGAAGATGATTCATGAAATTTGAGAGATGTAGTCATTGAATGCATTTTGAGCCAAGACAATGATAACTGATCCTCAGTTTAGCCCACATAGACTTCTGTTGTGCTCACTGTGTGAGGAGTTTTGCAAACGTGACCTAAGTATTGGGAAATGTGTCCTAGCGTCTGTAAAAAACTGTAATGAATTCTGCATGATGTCTGATTCATTCCAGTAACATATATTGAAATTATAAACAGAGATGTGTCCTTGTTTCACACAGGAAAACACTGTGTAATGCTACATGTTGTTAGTGTTTTTCAGGTCATTGTTTTGTGGATGACAAAGTGTGTTTGTCGGCTGTCAACCTTTGCTAGTGTTCTGGAAGAATGAGTTCATTTGAGACCTGAATGAAGTGTTTTGGTAGTTGTAGTGCATTTTGAATGTGAAATGAACTGCTTTGCCAGGCTGACGGTCAGTTAGGAGGATTGTGTGAAGAGTTTTGCAAAAGTGACCTAAGTATTGGGACATGTGTCCTAGCGGCTGTAAAAAACTCTAATGATCTCCCCCTCTCTCTCTCTCTCTCTCTCTCTCTCTCTCTCTGTGTGTGTGTGTGTGTGTGTGTGTGTGTGTGTGTCTGTGTGTGTGTGTGTGAATGAGGCATGTTGTATAAAGCACTTTGAGTGCTCAGGTAGAACCAGTCTATTTAACAGTGACCCTCGTTCTTTCTGCAGATTTGAGTGTTGGAGCATGGGTTGGTGTAGGCTTCATCATGTTAACAGTCCTCATCGTCATCGTCACGGTGACCGTCCTCTGCTGTCGCCAGAGAAACAAAACTCTGCAAACGTCTCAGTCATCAGCACCAGTGTAAAGTGCTTGGGTTAAGTTTGCTCTCTGAAACCAAGTTTACACTGTATTATGGGTATTATTTCTGTATTTCATATTCAAGTTCTTTATTTAGTTGACACTGAAAGTGAAAGACTTCATCAAGAATTTGGTCTTTCACATTCACCAGTGTTTGTCCTTTCATTTGTGTGATCATCGGGTACATCAGGAAAACAGTAACCAAAACCAGTCTGCTACAGCAAAGTCGTGATTTGTGTCTAAATGACTGGATTATTAGAATGTTCATGCCTGAAGTACGGCATCATTTATTAGCTTGTCTTCTGGCGGAACCTGCGTCCAACCCATGCGTTTGCATGGAGCTCATTGGCTGTAGAGTAATTTTCATTAAACAACATTTCTTTTTCTAAAGTAACTGAAATATATCATTAAGTCACAATCACAGTTTATCTGTAATCTTCATTTGTAAAAAACGTTTAAATGGTTCAAGATTATAGAAAAAGCAAACAGTTTGACAAATATTTTGGTAAATGTGCAGCACAGTGGTTGGGTGGTTAGCACCTGGGTTTAAATCCAGCATCTGGCTGGAGCCTGTCCTTTCACGTCATGTCTGCGTGGGTTCTCTCTGGGTACTCTGGCTTCCTTCCACAGTTTAAAGACATGCAGTTATTGGGGTTAAGTTTGGTGAATCTAAATTGCCCATACGTGTGAATAGTTGTCTGTCTCTCATTTCTCCTTGCAAAACCTTACACCTTGGTTAGGCTCTTGCCCACTGTGACCCTGAAATGGTTAAGTAGAAGAAGATGGACGAACAGCTGGTAATTGAAGCTGTTGCAAGTTCGTTTTGATGTCATATCTGCATCAGCTTGATGTGCTGTTTTGTCAGGGGTTACTTAGGAAGACTTTCCAACATATTTGTGTGTCTGAACCAAATCTTTTGCCTTTTTCTTCTTTTTGACCCATTATGTTTCAAATTTGAATGTCCAGGTCTTATAAATCACCACTGGTGGTTAGTGAACACAGTGGATTATTTAGCAGCTATTTTCTCACGAGTGGGGGGAGACAAAAGGTCCATGGATTATTCTGTTTGTATATAAATAGTGTTAAATAAAAGCTGAAGATTACTTTACTACTTTTATCTCATCTTGTTGTTTTCATCGATCACTCAGATCCCAAATGTAGCAGAAACATCAATTTCATACTTCTTCCAACAGCCACTGCTGGTGGGCCTTCCTGAATCCATTGTACTCATTTCCAGTAAACAAAGACTGGTCTTGGGCCCAGCTGGCCTGCCCCAGCACCAGGAATCCAGCGCTTCCTATGCTGGAGCCATGTGTCAGTAGATGCAGTTACAGATCCTTTTTTCAGCTCTCACTATGTAACATTGAGGCCAGATTCAAAGGCGCTACAGCAGAACTGGCTCCCTGCCTGGCTGAACAGAAGCGCTCCATCCTTGTCTTTGAAATTGTCTGTGAATTGCCTCAGAACAGGAAAAAAGAGGATAATTGTGACACATAGTCTTTGATTTATGAATATCTGAAGGTAAAAATGTTACAAACATGAAACAATTCTTTCTTACAAAGCACAATTAATAAAACATCTTCTCCAAATTCTTTATCAATCCAATCTTATCCTTTCACTACGCACCTCTTTACCCCACAACTGGTGCTGGCTCATGACTGCCCTTCCCAGAGCCCGGTCTTTCTGGAGGTTTCCTCCTGTTAAAAAGGGAGTTCCTTTTTCCCACCATTGCACAAGTGCTGACTCACAGGGGTCATCTGATCGTTCTCGCTTTGTATTGGTAGCAGTATTTGTATTTGTATTCCACAATAGAGATGGAAAAGCAGACCACATTATGGCTTGCAGATGACTTTTATTTCTTAGTTTTTTCATCACACATTAAGACACCAAATTGTACATTAGACATAAATGAATCATCATCACAATAAACCATGGCTGCATCATGACAAAACGCACAATTTCTTCTGAATATGCTGTCCTTCGACCATGGCTTTGGAGCACACACATATACATCGTAGAAAACACGTCATTCAACGCTGCAAAGAATGAAAAGCTCCACAGGGAACTTGATATCTGCCTCTCTGAACAGTAGAAGAGCTCTGCCAATGCTTTGGGTAATATTCTTATCCTGTGTGGGTAATAAAAGCAGCTGGTAAAATGAATATATAGATATTTTAAATCAGAGATATGGACAGCTATCTGTGTATATAATAAAACTGATTGCAGACCTTGTCATTTTAGTGTGCGCTACATGTGTCTATGTACAGTGATGCATTTTTGCTTTTTTTGGATGTTACCTTGGCAATCGATTAAAACACACTTTAGCCCTGGAGAGTGGCAGTCTGCTGAGATTTCCTCCTCACATGTGGATAATTTAGTAGCAATAAAGTAGCAATTTTTAATGAAAGATGTCGTAGCTTATTGGGAGAGTAAAAAACAAAACATGGTTTAAGCAGGACGACGGCTCCACCTGCAGATACTTAAGATACTTAAACTCTACTGATAAATGTTTCTTGCTAAATTATGTTATTGACAGATACTCCATATTAATATGTATCTCCATGAGACTATCAGAACTGAGATCCATTCTCCAGGCGGAGAAGAAACCTGTTCAAAGTGGTCAGTAAAGCTTCTACCACCTTCAGATTTATCACTACTGTTATTCACAAATGCATTTTAGAACAATACCCTCATGTTTGCAGATATTCTTCTTTTTAGGTTTTCACATTGTGAGGACGACATTAGTTTGACTGCATCATTCAATTTTTCAAACTCAGAAACTGACTTTCATTTTTATTTGACATGGGTAGCTGTGACACGCCTATTTTGCTAACATTTGAGGTAAGTTTATATGCATAACTACAAAAATCTACACACATCCACACAAGAATTAGGGCAGGTTCTGGGCCAAAGATGAATGGATAACAAATTAACAGCTGGCACACTGTGGAGCTCCAGATTTGCTATTTTATTACACCACAAAAAGTCTGACATTTTGAGCAAACCTGCTTTTTATCACATAAGATACAATGCAGCACCATCTTAAATCACATGTTACTGGTTGTAATGATGCATGCTTGTGTATGTGTGAGACTACTTTATATGGAATATGCTTAACTGTACAATGCACTCTCATCCGTCAGTACAGCCACTGGTGGATGAGTCAGGGGGCGGCAGTCAGACAGGAAACTGCTGTTGAAGCTGAGCTTCCAGCGGGCAGCTTAGGTTTACAGTCTATTAGCTTGAGACAGCATAGTTTTAGCCAGCTGTCTGAAAAAGATAATCCAGTTTTCTGCAGCAGACCATGCTCAATACGTCATAGTTTCTGTGTGTAACAGGCTGGCAGTGTGCAAACTGTTATTTTAGTGTTGTGTATGTAACTAATTATGTTCCAAAATGCAACAAATGAACAAAATAAGTCTTCTAAATGTTCTGTTTTCTTTACACATGATTGTACATTTGAACAAAGCAAATACATGGAGCACTGTGCTTGTATATGAAGTGTTGTGATTCACGCTAGTAGATTTGTCAATTTTAGATTTTGCCAATAACTTGATACTAAATGATACAGAAACACACATTAGATCTAAATATCCTTTAAAGGTGTGTACCCTCACATTATGCTACACCCACATGGTTTCCATGGACAAAAGACCAAAATGCATAGGAAAACTGCAAAACGCACGTCAATAATGTCTCGATGCATGCCATTCCCCAACTCTCTGTGAATGGGACTCATGGCCATTGATCGGTGGTCATGACAATTTGCATATTAATGATCCAGGAACTGACCTCCCAGCCCACTGTTCCTTCAGTGGTGCTAGTTTCACTCATTGTGCAAATGTACTGTATATAAGATTGGGGAAACCTGCAGTCAGCTGAGACTGAAGAAGTCACCTGGATGAGTGACGAAACATTTCTCCCACTGAAAATGTCCAGATGAACAGGATGCACTTTTGGGACACATCAGTAATCCTTTAACTGGAAGTAAGAACTTTGAATATAAGGTAAGGTGACGATGGCTGGTCTTCGGGGTCTCACTGACTCTTTTATATTAAATTAGCTCTGGCTCTTTAACTGGTTCTGTTTAAAATGATTAGACCCTTGATGTTAACTCGTGAACCAGCTTGTGTTTTCTTCCATTTCCAATGGAACCATTCTAGTTATTCAGTGGAAGCATCTCGTTTGAAGCAGGTGGAATGTGGGACTTCACTTTAATGTCTTTGCTATATGATGTGTACCATTGTACAATCAAAAGAAAATGCGAGTTCATGTACATATCTACAAATATGAAAGTCATGGAATACTTGCTTTTAATGGGTGTAGCTGCTGTCATGAAATCATGGTAAAAGAGTGAGGTAGGCTGAACTGAAGCTTTGTGTGAACTGAAAGGTTCAATCAGTGCCTGCTGAGTGTGCCATGTAAAGGTAGACTCACACTCATGATATTTGTACTACCATGTAAAAACAATCAGTTTGAATTTGATGGCAGCAGCATGTTTCAAAGAAGGTGGGATGGGGCGGCAAAAGGCTGACAAAGTAAGTGACACAAAAAAGAAACATTTTATACGTAATTAGACAAACTGATGACAGGTCAGTAACAGGACTGGGGGGGAAAAGAGAACATCTGAGAGAGAGATCTGCAAAAAAGTGCTTCAACAACATTGTAGAGCAATTTCAGAATAATGTTCCTCAACAAATAGTTGCAAAGACTGTGAATATCTCATCATCCAAAGTCATAAGCTCAGAAGATTCAGAGAATCTGGAGAAATCTCTGCATGAGGGACCAGGCTGAAAATCAACATTAGATGCAGCTGATCTTCAGGTCCTCAAGCAGACACGATCCTGTTATGAAATCAGTGCGTGGGCTTAGGAACACTTCCAGACATCACTGTCTGTGAACACAGCTCACTGTGTTGTCCACACACACCACAGTGCCACCATCTCTGGACCAAAGCTCATTTAAAATGGACTGAAGCAAAGTGAAGAAATTTTAATTTGAAATCGGAAAACATGGACACTGCGTCTTCTAGACTATCCGACTTGCTGTCAGTGCTCAGTTCAAAAACCTGCGTTTCTGATGGTGTGGCAGTGCATCAGTGCCTCTGGAGTTGGCAGTTTTAGAGCAGCATATACTCCCATCCAGATGGCATGTGTTTCATGGAAAGCCTTCATAGTAGAAGAGTCCTTGCTGTTACCAGCTGGTGGAGCATCATAAAGTGAAAAATATCTCTATGAGACAAGAATGGGACAGCATTCCTCTCCCAAAGTCTACAGAGTGGGAAGCATGACCCTGTTTCTGAGATGTGCTGCTGCCATCAAATTAAAATATTACATATTTCTCTTAAAATGATATGTTTTCTCCATTTAAACATTTGATATGCTTTCTGTGTTCTATCAGGAATAAAGATGAGCCAATTCTGTTTTATTTAAATTTTACACAGCATGAAAACTTTTTGGAATTGTACTTCAGGTTGGCTCAGGAGGAAGACTGATGACTTCATCCTCCAGTCTGCAAAACACTGAACCCCAAGTTCAATGTGTATGTGACTGTTAGAGAAAAGCTCTCAGGTGTAAAGAAAGTGCTTGTGTGAATGTGAGTGCAAATGGTTAAATGACGCTTGCAGTAGAACAGGCTTCGGGTGCTCAGAGGAATAAAGCGCTATGTGCCATTTCTGAACTGCCTAATGAACTGGTTACACTGATGCTCTGCTACCATACCAGTAAATATCATGTACTTGTTAAAAAGCAGTTGTGCGTGTGACCTTGTGTGGGTACAATCAAAAGGAATAACAGTGTTTTACATATAATTAGATATCTAATTATAACCTGAAAATGATATAACAGTGTCAAAGAGGTCTCTGGGAGTGATTAACCTACAGAAAATGATCAGCTCACAGATTTCTGCTTTGTACTCTGGCTGTGGCGTCACTGTTGGTTCTGACTACTTTAGTCTGATCACAGTAAACTTATCAGACCTGTGTGGAAGAAACTGCCGGATGGGCAGCGTAACAGTGGCACCGGTGCCAGACCCACTCCACATTTACCCTCGCTGTGTCCTGGTTCCACGCTTCAGACCATTCCTAAGCAAAGATGTTTACACCAATGAAATGCTCAGATCTGCCTTACCACTGTAAATCTGCTCGACTTTGTGTGCGCCATCCACAAATGAAAACACATCTTAATTACTTCATAAAGTTTCACTGGCAGTGCTATAAAAAGCTGCTGGACAGAAGAAACTGCTTTCTGAAAGTTACATACAGTACTTCTGTACTGGTGTCTTTAAATATCAGCAGTAGTAAAATTAATTACATTACGAGGGAGAGACAAAAATACAAGAGCTTACTACTGATGACAACGGTACAAGGCAATAGTCTTCCACTCAGATGTAACTATCTGTCTTTTGGTGTTGTGTCCCCACCCCAGCGCTCCCCTCATGCATCGCTTTGATCACTAGTAGACGCTCCAGGCTGTGGTTGCCTAGGTGACCTCATGCATTTACAAATGTCAGTCACTCCAGTGGCCTCCAACATGAGAAAAGTTCATCCTGGGCTTTTTGCCCATCGCCACTTGAAGTCAGACAATGTCGCTGACTTTCATTGCTCACCAAACCACACCCACATTTCCTGGGTGGAGACAGCTTTGCTGCTTTTTTATTTGTTGCTACCAAACAAAAGAAAGAATTGGAAGCCTGCGCTGTTAGTTAGGTAGTTACGTCTGTAACTGCCTAACTAACAGTACACAACCAAAATCCCTGCATAGTTTTTATTTTCAGCATTAGTGTGCAGTATGAAATTGGAACAAAGAATGAAGTGGCCATCTTTTCAGTTACAGTCCAATTATAAACATGGGTGGCATCGCATTACTACTGAGCGTGCTACACATGTAACAAAGCACACACCTGACCACAGCCATCAGTCGTGCTTTGTCACTGGTGAAACTGAAGAATCCAGCCTAGAATGGCAGTGAACCACTGCTTCTCTTTAAGGAGCCTCTTAAATGATGTGTGAAAACACTGTTGTGAGCGTGGATATGCGTTCATTGGTAAATCTGACTATAAACTCTCTACAGCTCATATGCAACTTAGATCTAAACTACTAATTGGATAGATAATCTCAAAACCACAACAGCAGATTACATTGTATCATTTATATACAGTTTATCTATTTGAAGTCTTGTAACATATGTCCTAATATTTACTGTATGTCACATCACAAACATGGACATTATTTGCACTTCAGACCAGTCAGGTCCGTCAAAACCTTCTTCAGTTCATCAAATCATAAAAAGACAAGATAGTAGGTCAGACAGTCGTGTGCAACCTTGACAGATGTAAATAAAAAAACTGGATAAAATCATGTTTCTTAATATAATAATCAGGAAATCTTTTTTATCATTTGGTTCCTGGTAGTTTTTTCATCTTGCCTTCCATTGTTTCTCCTCTGATTAACCTGAACTAATTTACTGTGATAATTAACACCAGAATGAGCTCTTTAGTCATTTTTCCTCCATTGCATTTCCCTTTGTCGTACTTTATTCCTTATCATCTTCACTTCTTGCCTTGTTGTCATCACAGGAACCGTGCTGACACAGTAAACCTCACTTGAATGTTTCATGGTGAGAGATCACTTTAAATCGATGACCTGAGTCTGGGACTGGGCCTTGTCCTTGGCCTAAAACACATGAAAGTAGATGTTTTTAAGTAGATGTTTTGTTTTTTTTTAAATATAATTTTCTATGCACAAAGCAGTTCGAGAGGCACGCTGACTTTTAACAGTTATTTTAAATAATCATTTGAACTTCAAACAAAATGAAAAAATATTTTCTTTAAGATAGGTTCAGGGCTGTTCAGCAGGCACTTTAGTAGTGGTGCAAACCATTAGCCAAAGAAACCAGAATTAATGTTCAGTACAAAGAAAAACATGTATGCATGGCACCACAAACCAACAATAAATATATCAACAATTTCTGGCTGTTGGATGGAAACTTTTGGCATATTGTCCAACCCCTACAAGAAATGTTTTTCATCTCAACGTTGTAAGAAGTTTGAAAGGTTTCGGACTGTGGAGCAGTTTAATGGAATAGCTGACTAACAGAACAACTATAATTCTAGCTAGGGATACAATGATGCGACATTTGGATCAAATATTGGTTCAAAACCTGGATGGAATATTGGGGAGCCAATTCATAGTCTGACAGTTAAATTGGATCAATCAATCCAAAAATATTTGTTTCATGTATTTATCCGATTCTCATTTATTATTTCACAAATAAATACCAACAATCCAGTAAATGTAGTCTCTTAGGATTAAGTTAGGTGTTCAAATGGAGCCAGATATACAGTAATTATGGCCAGTCTCACAATGAGGAAAACAGCTTATTAACACTGAAACATTGATGTGTATTAGCAGATAGTCACAAAGTATTAGATCAGAAAAATGTGAATGGATGCTATTCTACTTCTAACTTTGCTAAAATGACTAAATACCTGGTTCTACTCTTGAGAAATATTTACAGTTGTAATTATTTCAACTCAAAGTTCAAATTTAACACATAACATATTTAAAAAATAAATCCCTAACCCTAACACATTAATGACGGCTTGAATTATATTAATATTAAATGTTGGGTATTTATTCTTAATCTCCAAGTTCTACAAAATGTCGACAATCATGGGCCAAATAAAAGCAAAAAATAAATAAAGGACAGTAAACCTGAAATTAGGATTTCACAGGATATATCAAACTAACTGGCCATCGATTTAATGCTATAATAAGTTAAGAAAAATAACGTCCAACTTACCCTGAGAGATGGTCGAGGAGGCCTAACTGGTCGTACTGGCTCTGGTACTGGGTTTGTCTGCCTTCTCTGCAATGGCTCTAGGTCATCAGCTACATCAGGACATCCAATGTATCCTCCAGCCCCAAACACTGAACCGAGATCACCTTCTAAAAGGTTGTGGTGGATCAGGGCAGCAGACGAATTAAGGTCCTGGCTGGCAGACATGCTACTGATGGCCATGTTTAAAGTACTAGTATGTGTGGTATTCGAGGTGCAGACACTGGGGTTACTGAGCTGCAGTCCCAGCATATTTTCGGATGCCACATCACTATCTGAGCTGTCATTAACAGAACTGACATCCTGTTCTGGTTCCAGAATGCACTGGATGTTGTTTGCTTCAGGCAAAATGTCTGTACTCAACAAGTCCAACCCCTCCTGGTCAGGTAACTCCTGATTTTCCTGAAGTTCCTGCTTATTGTAGCTACCTGAAACTAGCACGCCCTGGTTTTCCTTGCTATTAAAATCCAAAACTTCCTGGTTACCATGGCTATCTAAATCTAACACTTCCTGATTTTTAGGATAGGAGAAGTCCAGGACGTCCTGACTGCCAAAGCTGTGAGGTTCCAGCACTTCTTGGTTATGACAGTCACAAGGTTCAAGTAATTGCTCACTGCTATTATTCCGACAGAGGTCCACAACTTCTTGATTGTTGTGACTACAGAGTTCCAGGACTTGGTTTTTATGGTTAACCACCTCCCTGTTTTCGAGGCTAGATAGTTCCAGCACTTCTTGGTTTCCATTATTACACAAATCTAGAAATTCCTGGTTATTGTGGCTATCATTTTCAAGCACTTCTTGGTTTTCATGGGTATGAGGTTTCAGTATTTCTGGGTTATTATAGCTTGAGAGCTTTCTTTGCTCATTGTTGTCATTGGTACAACGGTCTATTGCATCCTGGTTGTCATGGCCACAGGGATCCAATACTTCCTGGTTCTCTTCTTGAGGGCTCAGCTTAAAGCCATAAGGGTCAAAGTCCCGTGTCATCTGGGAGGAGGTAATGTCAAACCCATAGGCATCAAAGTTCAGCTGATGTTGAGAAGAGCAGGGTTCAGGGTCAAAGGTCAGATCATCATCAGCAGGTTCTGGACTCAACTCATCTTCATCAGGGTCTAAAAGAGTGTGACTAGAATGCTCTGGGCTGAGTTTAAAGCCATACGGGTCAAAGGAAGACTGACTGGTTGGTTCATAGTTCAACTCAAGGCTGTTCTGATGTGAGTCAGGCTGAGTGAAAATGTTCTGGGACTCTAGTGAGTTCTGTGGAACAGCAGGGATTTGGATTTCTTCTTTGATGCTCCTAACCTGTTCTGTTTGCTGACTGTAAGTGACATCACAGGGCAACGTTTCCTCTCTGTTGCCTGTCCAACCTGGCTCCAACAGGACAGGTTCGCCAACAGCTTGAGTCAAACCAAGACACTCACCTAGCAGAAATATACAGTGAGTAGTTAAGAATAGAATTATGACGCAGTTACAAGACCACAATTTTAAGACGTTAAGCTTACAGGCTAAAGAGTCTGAAATAATACGATATTCAAAGGTTTAAAGTTTATAAAGACAATTATACTGCTCAAAATTGCACATCTAAAATCGAACGTAGTCAATGTCCAGAAATGCTGTCAGTCCATTTTCACAGAAAAAAGATTTGTGATACTAATTTAAATTTTCATCACATGCAACATGTAAAACAATAGGGGGCATATTTTCCCCCTAAAGGCCTCTGAGTGGGCCCTGTGGACACCCAAGTTTGTGAATGCAATAACTCGAGAACGAGGCGATGTAGGATTTTCAAACTGAAACCATCGGTATCTAAAATTCTCTAAAGTTTGTATCCCGGTGACCTCGACCTCAAGGTCAAGGTCAGAGGTCAAGTTTTCTGAAAATCGTCTAAATGTGATAGTTCAAAAAGGACGTTATCTAGAATGTTCTAATTTATAGTATAGGTGCATCTACTAAAAATCTCAGATGAGTTTGAATCCTGGTTACCGTCACCTCAAAGCCACATAGGATTTTCACATTCATCCCACAGGCGTAGGAGGCTGAGGAGCAGCACTGACGGCTGCCGTTTTAGAAAAGAAATTCAGTCTGAAACTTTTTTGTGTAATGGAAATGTGTTCCTAGGTCAGCAATTAAAGTAGACACCACTTAAGCAGGAAACTGACTCCCAGCATCAGTATATGCACATGCACAGTATCTCACCAAAGTGAGACACATTTTTGTAAATATTTTAGCATAATCCTTTCATGGAACAATACTGATGATATGACACTTTGATAAAGTGTAAAGTAGTCAGTGTACAGCTTGGATAACAGTATAAATTTGCTGTCCCCTCAAAATAACTCAACATACAACCATTAATGTCTAAACTGCTGGCAACAAACGTGAGTATGCCCCTAAGTGAAAATGTCCAAACTGTGCCCAAAGTGTCAATATTTTGTGTGGCCACCATTATTCTCCAACACTGCCTTAACTCTGTTAACGGGAATCCTCTTCCACTCCTCCATGATGACATCATGGATCTGGTGGTTGTTAGAGACCTTTCACTCCTCCACCTTCCATTTAAGGATGGTTCCCTCAATTAACTGTAGTGCCAGCAGCACTCATCCAGCCCCAAACATCCCACCACCATGCTTGACTGTAGGCAAGACTTGTCTTTGTACTCCACCTGGTTGCCACTACACACCGTTGACACCATCTGAGCCAAATAAGTTTGTCTTGGAATTGCTGTCCGTACAGACACTATTAATGTGTAAATGATTAACTAAAAATCTTGTCAACACAAAGTTCTTTATTTGGAGGACATTTCTACAAGATAAGTTACTGAAAAACTGCTTGTGCTTAAAGTGCTTTGGCACTCTTTGGCAATACCGTAGGTAATGTAAAACTTCATCATCACATCAGCCTCCTCTGATGACCTGTTTGCTGCTGCCTGCCACTGAAAGGCAATGGAGAGAGGGGAGACTTGGGCAGTGCATTTATTGCAGCATATAATGTGTTTTCACTGTGCTTTTTCAGCGTTCAGAGGTTGATGGCTCCGTGTCAGAGCTGGCTATGAATTTCAGACAGATCAGGCCTTAACTTAACAAAAAAGTTATCAATCGTTCTTTTCATCTTTTCTCATTACCCACAGCTACATCCACTTCTGTCGGGCCTAGGCTGCTCACTAGGGCTGGGTATCAACACTGATTTCTATTATCCATTCAATTCCAATTCACAAGGTCCCGATTTAGCCTCAGACAGTCAGAAATATTCTAATTCTGATCATTTATCAGTACTGATACATGTGAGACTTCATCAGAGGTGTGAGCCTTTGTGTCAAAGTAACTGAGGATAAAACACAGAAAAACATGAGGGAGATTTTCCTGGCCTGGCTTTTTATAGCAGATAAACTTAAAAATATTCTGCAATATTGCAACATTTTTAATTAAAAAAAAATAATTCAGTATTGAACAGCAAAAATTAGGCTTTCTAGTTCGCGGCCATTTAAGTCAATAAAAAAAAAAAGACAGCGGCTGACAGTGCTGTAAACCACGGTAGACCGGCGGGTAATAAGCGAATGAAAAATGTAAATGACGATGTTTTTCCAAATGTGAAGCGTAGTTTGGATCTTCTTTTGTTGCTGGTTCAGTGAATTTCGGTTGGAGAGAGATAAAACCTGCAGCTCAGAATCTCACGCAAAAAAGACGTAAACACAGCGCGGACCGGACGCATCAGAATCAGTGAGCTGTCGGCTTTCACCCGTGCCCTCGGGTGAGAAAGCCGAGAAAGAGAAAGCTGATTCTGATGTGGCGGCTCTGTGTTTACTTCTTTGTGCAGAATCCGTTTTCCTGCTCTCATTTGCTGTTTGTTGAAATAGTTTTGTGAGCTTTAACCTGAGATTCTGGCGTTTCTGGCAAAATACATTTATATTTGTTATGTTGTAACAAGGAATTGTCCACCAGGGGGCAACAGTTGTTGAAGAGTGGTGTCAGTGTGTGTGGCGCATGCCCCAGTTCAATATAACAAAGAAGTGACTGTGAGGTCAACATGGTCTCCGTGGTTCCTGAGTTCTAGGATATCACAATATTTAAAAGTTGATTCAGGATTTAATGAATCGATATCGCTTTATTCGAGCTACTGACCTCTCTCTATCTGCCTGCACTTTCAAACGTACAAACGAAGGACAACTACAGGACCACGGCCAATCAGAGGTCCCGCCCCTGACTATCTCTGATTGGTTTAGACCACGATAGGCGCATAATGTGTGTCAGTTGTTGACCACACGGAGATTTTCAGAGTTGCTGAGAATTTTATTTTATTTTATTTACTCGAAAAGTTGGTCACACCAGTGAGACCTAGGATTTTTTTTAGTTGCACCACTGAATAATTTGGTCACATTTGCGACAACACACCTTCTACCCATTTGTACCTGAGACCTTGTAACACTAACGAGTCACATGACACCAGGGAGGGAAATGGCTAATTGGGCACAAATTGGACATTTTCACTTAGGGGTGTACTCACTTTTGTTGTCAGCAGTTTGTGGCTGTGTGTTGAGTTATTTTGAGGGGACAGCAAATTTACACTGTTATGTACACTGACTACTTTACATTGTATCAAAGTGCCATATCTTCAATGTTGTCCCATAAAAAGATATAACAAAGTATTTACAAAAATGTGAGGGGTGTACTCACGTTTGTGAGATACTGTAAATGAAAGTAATAAAAAGTAAAACTGAAAAACTGTCATGTCTGATAACCGGGCGTGTGACTAAAATATAAATTACCTTGCTCTAATCCTGCTGATGACTGAGTAATAGCCTCTCCAGCCAGAGATACCAGACTATGTTCTTCTATGTCGGAGGGCGGGGAGACAGCACCAAGATCAAGCTCATACCCATTAGGGTCAGATTCTACAGAATACTGTCCCTGGGAACGCCACCCTCGGATAGGCTCTGGCCCCAGCTCCTCTGACGAACTCTGAATGGGTTTAAATCCATGAGAATCATCTTCCATAGCAATGGTGTCCAGGTCCTCTCGACTGTAGCTAATCTCTATGTCACTGTCTTCATCTGGGAATTCTGACTCAAAGCACTGAGTTCCCGTTGAAGCTTTGTTTTCAACACAAGACAGACTGGTGTCTGCTTCGTCACCGGCATTTCCTGTGCTCTCACCAGTGGCAGTATTCGTCAACGGAAACAAAATATCTGCTGCGAAGGGGTCGCTGCCTTTGAAAGGGTCAGAACCAAAGCCATCTGAAAATCAGAATATTTAAAGAGTTTATACTTGTAAGTTTTGCTAAGAACAGTATTGAAGTTGAGTAACAAAACAACAAAATGAACAAGAGCCTCTTTATGTCAAGTGAAGTTCTGTTTAGATTAGTGGTCTATTATAACTCACCAGATGAGTCTGTTTTAAGGAATAGGTCTTCATTGAAGAGGTCATCTATAAATCATGTGTAAAAGAAATGAAATCACTGTACTTTATTAATACCACTGCAACAAAAAGTAAAGGTAACAAAAGCATATATGATTAGTTTGCCAAAGAAAAAAATCATCATTTATCCCACGATGTCACAGCCTAGCTCCCTCTGGTCCCTAGAGTTGAAGGAGTTTTGATGCCCAGCTTGGGTTGGTTTATTTTCTGAGCCCCTACTCTAGTCCTCTCCTACTCCAGAGTTTGAACCACATACACAGCCCCAGGATCAGAGCTGCCCGATGTCCTAGTGGGAAAAGTTCTACTTGTGCATGAATTAAGTTGTCCCTTCTGACAGAAAAAAAGCTGTAGTCTCCACCAACCCAGAGGCTGGATTTTAACAGTTCTGATTCCCAGTCCTCTGGCTGCCATAGTTCATGTCCAGTTCCAATTACCACCTTAAGGCCAAATCACTTAACCCTCAAACAATTCAATTACATCACTTTTGAGTGTAGCCGTAGGGCTTGAGCATGTTCATATTCTAACAGGAAGATTAGGTATTGCAATCATCAACCACTTCTTCAAATTGATGCCAAACTACCCAAGCAAACAAAGTCACACTCTTGAGTGATTTGCTTGGAAAGATGCACTGGCACAGCATTCATTCAGATTTAACTGTCTGGGGGCCAGGTTGATGTTCGAGAAATGCAACTTTTCTTAACTTTTCAGTACTGCAATGCAAAGTGAACGGATACCCACTCCAATTCAGCAATGCGTGTCACCTCTTTCAAAGTAAATTAGAGAAAAGAGTGCCAAAGTCTGAAATCCACGACAGCAATAGTAGCTCAGCCTCTGAATTTGTTACATACGGTCACACTGACAGCGGGCGAAGGGGTTGGCTTGGTAGAAGTCCAGCTGGCTGAGGGGGTTGGGGTTCATAGTGAACTCTTCCTGGTCTCTTTCGTTTTCCCCTTCGGCGTTGAGGTCCCCTTCCTCCAGGCCATCCTCTATGTCAGACCTATCCATCTGTGGACGCGTGACAACCAGAGGTCACAACACCATGGCTCTATCCAAAACTAAGGAAGATGCCTTTGACTAGTGACAGCTGGTGCTGCCAAGTTACACCGGTTAGAGGTCTTTAAATTAATTTAAACTGATTTCATATCAATAAAGTCAGCACTAATTACAATGTCAAGTTTTTGGATGGATTTTAGCCTAAAATGTTTTGCACATAATTCGTGCTATGCATGACACGACATGTTCTGTAAGAGCGAAGCTACCTTTGGTGAGCTGGTCCCACTGTCATCTTCTTCTCTGGTACCGACTAGATTATTGCAGAAAGGTGAACCACTGCCCCCCTGGAGGTGTTGGAGGCACAGAGAGAGAGATAGTTACTAAAATGTCACAGAAAAGAAAACGCAAGACACATATATATATATTCTCCATGATAAAAACCTGCGAAAACTGTAGCATAAATATGAAAGACATAGAATAATACACTGAAGAAAAAAGATCACAAACAGCTCCAGATCACACACTAATAGTCCACATGCATGAGCTTGATTCATTTTTGACTCCCCAGAGAAAACATGTGAATTCATATCTATATTTCCCTGCTAAATACAGATACTAGTTTTAAATTTGAATTTAAATTTAAATTCATTTTTGATAGATTTCTAAAATATTTGTGCTTTTTGTTTTGATTGTATAAATATCTTTTTATGGTCTAATAACTTTGTTAAGCAGTGTTTTTAAAATGTCTCATATTCAGTGCCTTGGCTCCTCCAGTCCAAATGTGGAAATGCCCTGGAGAAGATAATTCATGCCAAACAGCCACTGGATCGGATATAGTGTAAGTGCACAAATGGCAGTATGAATGTGTGCGTAAATGAGTGAAATGGGAAATGGACTGGTTCTTATATAGCACTTTTCTTCTCTTCACTCAAAGTGCTTTATAAAACTTGCCTCAATCACACAAGCACTTTTTTCTTTTCTTTTTAACATCCACACACATTTACATTCCGATGGATGTGTTAGTGATCAACTTCGGGTTAGTATCTTGAAAGGGGATATTTGGCATGACTGGAGCAGCCAGGGATTGAACCACCAATGTTCAAATTAATAGATGATCTGTTCTGCCTCCGGAGCTACAGTCACCCCAGAAAGAGCAGAAAAGTGCTGTATAAATTGATCATTATACAGCACTTGTCACAGTGCAATATAACACAGAAGAGTGTTTGTTATTGACTTTTTATTGAAATTCAGCAATCAATATACTGTGCACTTTCATTTTTATCAGTAGTTACAAAGTAAAAGCTTAAATGTCCTGTTTTTTTTTTTTTTACATGTATGACCCACAAAAAAACCAAACAAAAACCCCTAAAACAAAAACAGGAACATTAATGGACATGAAATTGTTATTACACCAAATCTGATTCGAGACTAGTACAATCCAAGGTCAATGTCCGGTCTGTGTAGTATCAGACAGTCCATCCATTTCTTCCAGCATCAAGCAAACAGGTTCCTCTTATAACTGGCGTCTGCTGTCATTCTCTCCATCCTGTAAATGTCTACTGTGATGTCCATCCACATGCTCAGAGTTGGGCTTTCTGTGAGAGCCAGTTTTTGTAATGGCTCTCTTGGCTGCCACCAACAAAATAATAAACAGATATTTGTCTCTCTTTGGCCATCCTTCAGGCATTAGTCCAAAAGATTTAACTTTACTCTCCAAAGGCAGATGACTTCCTAAAGTTGTATTGCAGTGTGTATTTCCTGCCACTAGGTTTTAATACCATGACAATCCCAAAAGACATGACTATGATTTGCTTTAGTATTTCCCCAGTGAATTGCCCTCACAGCAAGATATTTGGTAAGGGGTAATAAAATATCTTGCTATACTTCCTGTGAGCCGCTACATTTCCATCGATATGTCCATAATGTTGTCCATTTTTCCTCCCTCCATTTCCCACTTTACGTTAATATATAGAGTTGAATGTATTTCCCTGTTTTTATCCCCATTGTATACGCCAGAAATAATGCCTCTATATTTGTTTGTTTCTTCCCTCGCAAACATGTCCAGCAGCTGTTTACTTGATTCTTGATACTCTGATTCTTCCTTTTAGAGCTGCTTTTTTCATCCCATGGAATATCGGGCGCACGTCACCATTGTCATTAGTCTCCAAATAAAAGCGGCTCTGCTCTTTAATGTGGGGATCTTTCAGTATGCTCGAATTCAATTTTCTTGAAGAAATGGATATCGCTACCAGATGCTGCATACACATTTAGCAGCGTAATTGAATTCCCCTCAATGTTTTCCCTTATTGAAATAAATCACCCCTCCTTATCTCTTATCGCAAATGTTTTTTCAAAATGCTTGATAAAAGGATGGCAACTCCTCATCTTCATCCAGAATTATGAGATGATGAAAATACATTTGTAAAACCCATTCTTTTTCATTTCTCTTGTTCCTTGTAGTTTAGGTGGGTCTCCTCTGCATATTCCCTTCGCCAACTTAAAACCCAAGCTGCATAATCATGATCTAGGTCAGCGGTCCCCAACCCCCGGTACCGGTCCGTGAGTCGTTTGGTACCGGTCCGCGAGAGTTCAGGCTCGGGTGTGAAATGTATGGTTTTCAGGGTTTTTATTGGTTTTCAGCGTTATTTTGTTATCGTTTTTATCGTTTACTCGGTTTTCCTGGGTCTTTTCATGTGTATTACGAATAAATTTTCTTTTTTTCGGTACCGGTACTAGTTTTATTTTGTTGTATTTATCCGCGACACGTTAAAGGCCGGTCCATGGAAATATTGTCGGGCATAAACCGGTCTGTGGCGCAAAAAACGTTGGAGACCGCTGATCTAGGTTAATCCTGTTTCAAATCTGTCCAAATCCATGTTTCTGCCAGGCTGCTTTCAGTGTTGTTTCGTTCAATCTGAAGTTGGCCATCTTTACAACTATGGACCGTGGCGCCACATTTGGTGGTGGCTTTGGCACCAGAGTGCAGTGTGCTCTTTCCACCTGTAGCTCAGTGGAGTCAGGCAAATCCACTACTGATGGAGACTCCTCCTACAATCCTTCTTTAATGCCACATATTCTAATGTTTTCTCTTCTGGATCGTCCCTTTAGGATGATTTTTTTCATCATCTCTGTTACTGCTTCCTCATTAAGTTGTATTCGGGTTTCATGATTCTTTCTTCAGCCTCTTCCATTTTCTTGTTTGTTTTACTTATAGCCTCTCTGATTCCACTCAGCTACGCACAGTTGTCTTTTCTGAATTTATTTAGTTCTCTGATTGTTCTCCACTAGCCTCTGCTTGCTTGCCATTATCTTCCATGATGCTGTTAGCAGGTGAGATCTGGTCGTCTGTGTCTCCCTCGTGTAGCTTGTGTTGCACAGATTTCTTTCTATTTTTTCCTCTTTTTTTCCTCTTTTTTGGCATTTTGAAGGCCTCACTCTTATTTCTTATTTTCACAAAAGAAACTTTGGTAAATCAAGTTGCCGTGTGCTATTTTTTTTTGGAGCCATGGGGACATATTTGACATTAGAAAAATCACACGGCACACCACCAAACAAAAATGTCACAAAAAGCATGTTGATAATTTTTGCCCGCGCACCAGGTATAGCAGAATTGGTTTCTCCAGGGCCCAGGCCAGACTGACTACTTTTTCTTATCAAATATTCATCTATTGCTATTCGTGCTGCGTCATCTCACAGCATGACTATTATGCAAGTTCTTCTTCGCCTTCTTCTGTTTTACTGGCAGTTGGTGACCCATTTAAATAGAGGAGGTAGTTTTACTGCCCTCTAGTGGAGGAGAGTGTAATTGTGCCGCGGCACAGTGGTTGGGAAACACTGGTCCCACAGTTTTTATTATTATTATTATTATTATTATTATTATTTCATTTTGCTGTAACAAAGACAAAAGAGGACATTCTGTACAGTCTTTTGACAGATTTTTATCTTGACAAATGCAATATTTATGAATATGTGTAAAACTTTCATGTTTCAGATCATGAAACAAATTAAAATCTTAGACATGGATAAGTAAATAGAAAATGCAGCTTTTATATGATGCTATTATTTTTCAAACCACATGCCTCAAACCACAACCGCTCTGAAGCTGCTGTTAATCAACTATGTGCAATATCTCAGTCTCTACAATATTTTGGTCTCAGTGGAATTAACATCCCATATAACATGTATATAGTTCACTCACATATATGTACACATATATATTGCATTTTTTTCCCTTGCTGTATATTGTTTTCTCTTCTTTACTTTTGCAACTTTGTGGTCCAGCTACCCAGTTTCGCTGTGCAAGAAACTGCACAATGACAATAAAAAGCTCTAAGGCTCTTTCTCTCTCTCTAAGTCTCAAAGCTGAGAAAAGTTTATGTGGGACCTGCCTCTCCCAGTGTTTTTCACACCCGTAGATGCTTGAAATCACTGAGTGTCACTGACTCTCTTTGGTCTCTGGTTATTACACCACTGCAAATGGCTCCCTGCAAAGATTTAGGGAGCGGCAGGTAAAATATGTCGTATTTAAACTTTCAGGATCTGCTGTTCTTTTTGCTGGTGAAGTGTGTCATGTTATCATGCCTAAGAATCTCTCTAAGTTCCACAGAATAAAAGACTGTAGATCCTTGAGGGTATGGAAAGAGATAAAAAAAATAATTATTTATTTGAAGTGTATCAAACAACTGTCCAGGACTGGACTAATAAGCCCTAGAGCAGATGATCTGAAACAGCTGACAGATGGTGTCCAGAGAGAAACATAGGTCACAGTTGTATAATGTGTATTAGAGGCAGCCATGTAAATCTGTAAAAACAGTAGCTTCTGTGACCAGAGGTGTATTTCCCATACAAGAATATTCAATTCATTATAGTTTTGTTGGACTAACGACATCGATTTGTCAAAGAAGACTAAATATTTATTTTCCAAATACATGAAAAAAGCTATCCATGCCATGGGATTTCTTTCCGCAGTGTCCAGTTTGTCTGCTAGTAGTTCCTTTAAGGAACACTGGAGAAATCTGCTTTCAGAACATAGTGAATAAATGTGGAGATGATAGTTTCTAAACCTTCTGTTCTTAACAGCGACTAAGGCCTGTTCTCACACTTCTAGGAATCGTCAGTATTGTTTTAGATCACACTTGAAAATTGTCATTCATATTCAGTAAGGGGTACTCGCCATCATCATTGCCATTTACCATTATGAGGTCAGCATAGGCAGGCAGTGATTGGCTCCTTCCCCATGGCCTCAGAGACGGCAGATTATCTTCAGTGGTGTCTGCAAGAGATGTTGATTCATCCAGATGGCTTTCTGGAGTGACTGCACCTCCTGACAGAGAGTACAGGGTGTGCTCCTCCTGCAAGAAACACACACAGGAGTGGGGTGAACATGAAAAGCTGGTATTGTTAAACTTAAGAAACCAGATACATGTTTTCCTCTTTTTACAACACATATTTTATTTGAGATAATTAAATGCAAAATGTTTTTGTGTTTCTCTGAAATCAGAAAAACAAACTATATTCCTACCAAAAAACGGGAATAGTTATTTACTTCATTCACTTTCTTAGTGCAGTCATGGACAGATGGTCCATTTTTCAAAGCTTTAGGGGATAAGTGATATTAATAAAATAGAAATCATTGATATGAACACTTTATGGACAGATGCACTCAAACATCCTTGTAGTGATCGTTGTACCTGCAGGATCTCTTCATAAGACTGTCTGATTGAGTCTTGTAGAGGACTGTTCCGCTCTCCAGCCTCTTCCACTTTCCTCTTGGCCTGTTTCACCTCTTCTCTTAGCTTCCTCAGCCTCCATCTGGCTCTGGAAAGCTCCCTCTCATACTCCTCCACTTGGCTCTCCTTCTGTGCCTCCTCTGCCTGCAGAGATAGGATCTGGAAAGACAGGACTCAGTCAGTCCAGTGGGCTACAACAACAAATGTATTAGCTCATCTTGAATTTAAGAGCAGTGAAATGTCTTTCTGATGAGACTGATAAGAGCAACACAAGGTTAGAAGAGTAACACATGAATTATACATCTGTGTCAGATTGCATCGCAACTTACACATAACTGTAGCCCAATTTTAACTACGCTGCAACCTTCAATGTAACCTGACTTGCACCTCCCAAGGAATGTAACTCCATGTCATGTTACTGTCTACCATGATGACTTGAATGGTGCGGAAGGTTGCCGTGTAGGGATAAAAGGAATTTCTGTTCACTATATAAACTATGATGTAGATTTCCTACAGAAGTTCAAATCATGCTTAAGTGGCACGAAAAAGAAACACCTGGAGGAACGTTTAGCAGTAACTAATTATTTAAATAAGCATTAATTAAGAAGCAGCAAGTGTAACGGTATGACTGCACAGCTTTGGAACGGGAGTCGCAAGTTCGATTTCCGCCTGGAGTGACTGTATCCAATAAGAGTCCTAGGCTAGACCCCCATGCTAACCAAGCCTACCGCAGACATGAGCGAAGGAGATAAATATGAAGCCATACTTGCTCGGACATCGCCCGGATTAACAAGGTCCGCATCAGGTGTTAAGAAACCAGGGCACCCAGATGAGAAGTGGGCTACAGGAACAGGAAGGCATCGGTGGGCAAGAGACAAAAGTAGTGCACTGTTGGAATGCTCTACACAAGTAACCCCAGTGGAAGGGGTTACACGAATATGATTAAGATTCTTATGGAATCTTCAGTACCCAGCATCCACATTGATGGCAAAACAACTAGTAGCTCAGTGTTCCAACATTCGGAAGAAGGGACCGCTCTCATGGCTAGAAATTGAAGAGGTACAACACACATGCTATAGAAAAGGGGAGCCAGGACGACAGGTCAGGGGGGAGATACCATTACCCCCACCTGAGATTGGGTACCAAGCCCATGTGCGATAGAAGAAGGATTGTTGAGTGAAAGACAGATTCATGGCGAAGCTTGAAACCTGGATCCTCCATAGCTGGTTACCGAAACTAACAAGCTGATCTACACCACGGCAGCAATGAACAGTGAGAATCTTGGCTACAAGTTGAACAGCCACAAGGAGCAGTACCCTCCATGGAGAAGGAGACTACAGGCCAAGGTCAAGGTAGGCGTCTAGTCTAGTTAGACAGTTCTGTGAGTCCGAGCAATAGGCAGGCAGGGTGAACAACACCCTGTTGACCATCCGAGAAACCTTTTTGCAACGAGTTGCTCCTGCAACCCTGTCCCTGGCTAGTGCACCCACATTCTTAGCTTCCGCTTCTCTGCGCTCCCCTCTCCTGAACCATTTACAGGGGAGGTGGGCCAGTGCAGAGGCTTCTTCTTCATTCTGCTCTGCTATTCCAGCACTCTTCCAGGGCCTTTCCCAATGTTAATTCAAGGGAATAAATAATTGTTGGTTCCTTTCAGGACCCTGACTTGTAATGGGTCAGATCTTACCTCCTGGTGACATTCTTTAGAAATACTTACTTATGCACAGTTCCTGTAAGATTTTAAGGTTTTATTCCACCATCCTTTGTGCACAGATGAAGCAGCCCATCAGTTGCTCGGCCTTTGACAGTACCCGGTCTGTAGCCGAGTTCTCCATTAATTTTCATGTTAAGGGCACAGAGACAGGGGGGTAAGAAAGCGCTTTGTGCTCCCCTTTAAAAGGATGAGCTCGCTGCATGGGATGAACCCAGGTGTTTTGAAAGCCTAGCAGATTTTGCAATCAGGATTGACAATCGGTTGCATGAAAGAGAGAGAAGAGGGTTAGAGGTTACAAGACCGGGTGGGCACTTCTCCATTCGTTTTGCTCCTCGGACCTTTCTGACTAGCTCCATGAGTGTCTGACAGCACAGATAAAACAGCTGCTAGTCGATGAGAGACACCCAGAATGGCTAACTGAAGGCTGAAGAGACCTGATCTTCAAGGACCCCAGTCTTCCTTGTTGGCATTTGCTTTGCCTCCCCCTGAGCCAATGCAACTGGGATGCACAAGGTTGACATCAGAGAAATGCTGGAGGAGGTTCGACGAGCAGTTGTGTATGTATTGTGGTTTGTTGGGCCATTTTCTGGCCTCTTGACGTGTCTGGCCAAAAGACAGTGCCTACCAGTAACTGTGGGCCGTGACAGGGATACTAAGTGGGCAGTGCCTCTCCAGATGCCGAGGGTCCCCGTATGCAACTCCCTACCACCCTGTGTGGCAAGACCAGGACCTATTCATTACAAGTGCTTTTGAAGGCAGGTGCCAAGCAGAGTCTGATTGACAGAGATTTGGTGCAACAACTTGTGAGGTTCTGGTAGCTGTAAATGCTCTCAATGGTCAGTCACTTCCCTCCGTCACTCACCAAACCAAACCAGCTGAACTTATTCGTTAACAAGTATCTACTACCTTGGTCCATTTCTCATTACTCCTGACAGTCCAGGTTCCTCAACACCTGACCTGGTGAAGTCCAAGCTGTTATGGCTTCAGTTAACAGCCATAACAGTTATGGCTTCAGTTAAATATATCGCAAATATTCCGAGATAGGCTTGGTTAGCATGGGTGCCTAGCCTGCTGACCCTTACTGGATACACACCTTCACGTTGAACCCCCAACATAAAGTTCCTAAGGGGACAACTGTGCTATCGTAAGAATAGCAACACCAAGGCTGGAAGACAGAGCAATACTGGAAGAGCATATGGGAGAAGGACACAACCCAAAACAGCAATGCTCATTGGCTAGTAGATCTAAGAACAGACCACAGCAAAGGTCGCCAGTATGAAGAATTGGACAGAACCAGGCCCTGACATGGTTCACGCCTACTGGCTGAAGAAGCTGACTGCACTCCACGAGCGTCTGGCAGCGGAGATGAACCAGCTGCTAGTCAATGAGAGACACCCAGAATGGCTAACTGAAGGCCGGACAGTTCTGATCCTCAAGAGCCCCCAGATGGTATCGGTGACGTCCAATTACCGGCCAATAACCTCCTCAGTACCACATGTAAGCTCCTGTCAGGCATCATAGTGGCTAAGATGAACAGTCACATGGGTCAATACATGAGTGGGGCACAGAAAGGAATTGGCAAGAATACCAGTGGCGCAAAACACCAGCTAGGTTGGTGGACTAGGCTGACCAACCTGTGCACTGCCGAATTGATTACAAGAAGGCCCATGACTTGATGCCCCACACCTGGATCCTGTAATACTTAGAACTGTACAAGATCAACATGACCCTAAGGGCCTTCATCAGGAACTTAATGGGGATGTGGCAGACAATGCTAGAGTTCAACTTCAAGCCCACAGCACAAGCCATCATCAAGTGGATCTACCAAGGAGATGCTCTGTCCTCACTACTGTTCTGAACCCATCAGTGAGATCATTGATAAGACTGGCTATGGATACTGACTATGGAATGGAGCAATTGTCAGCCACCTCCTCTACATGGATAACAGCAAGCTAATGCCAAGAGTGACCGAGACATCGATTCACTGATCCAAACCACCAGGATATACAACAATCACATCGGAATGTTGTTCGGGCTGGAAAAGTGTAGTCGGATGATAACAAAGAGAGGGAAGGTAGTCAGAACTGAGGGGATTGAACTACCAGAAAGCAACAATGCAGACATAGAGGACAGTTACAAGTACCTGAAGAGGCCGTTAGGTAAGAACGGAGGTTAGAAGCCTATCATCAAGATCAGGAAGCTCCTGACCATGCGTGGAGAGTTTCACCCCAAGTCCAGCACCCTTAGGCTGTATGGTAAGTGGAAGGAAGGAGGTCAGAGACTGGTGAGTGTCAGCACCACAGTCCAGGATTAGACAACGAACTATATTAGGAAGATGGCTCAAACTGACTGCCTGGTCAGTGACAACTTGAGCCAACAGAAACCCAAGAAAGAGGAGGAACCATCATGGAAGGACAGGCCCCTGCATGGTATGTACCACCGGCAGAGAGTGGAAGTGGCTGATATCCAAAAGTCCTACCAGTGGCTGGACAAAGCTGGACTGAAAGACAGCACAGAGGCACTAATCATGGCAGCACAGGAACAAGCTCTCAGCACAAGATCCATAGAGGCTAGGGTCTATCACACTAGGTAAGACTCCAGGTGCAGGCTGTGTAGGATGCCCCTGAGACAATCCAGCACAGCAGGGTCCAGATGCTAGCAGGCAGGGCATAAAGGGAACGCCATAACCAAGCGGCTGGCATAGCATAGCATAGCATAGCATAGCATCTTTATTTATAAAGCACTTTAACATAAAACCACAGTTCACAAAGTGCTGTAAATGCAAATAGCATAAGCGTCAAACTCAAGGCCCACGGGCCACATCTGGCCCGGCGGACATTTATCATTTTATATAGACTTATTATTATTGTTATGCATGGCCTGCCGATATGAGGCACTAATAACACACAAACTACAGATCCCTTGCTGAATGCTAGGCTAGCTGGGAACATTCCCGAAGCTAGCGAATTGCGAAGCTAGCCCCTTACAATGGCGAAGAGAAAAGTTGATTCTGAAAACAGAGCCTTTAAGCACCGGTGGGAGACTGAATATATGTTTACAAACATTGCCGGTAAACCTGTGTGTCTTATTAGTGGAGCTAATGTGGCTGTAATTAAGGAATCTAATTTAAGACGGCACTACGAGACAAAACATCAGGATAAGCTGAAAAACCTAAATGCAGAAACTACAGAAAGTAGAAGAGCTAAAGAAGAATCTGACATTTCAGCAGATGTTTTTCACCAGAGCAAAATCACAAAGTGAAGCTGTTGTGAAAGCAAGTTTTATTGTAGCAGAGGAGATAGCCAAATCAGCCCGGCCATTTACCGAGGGAGAGTTTCTGAAGAGCTGCGTGATGGTGTGCGACGTCTTGTGTCCAGACAAAACGCAGATTTTGGCAAATGTGAGCCTGAGCAGAAACGTATGTCAAAGTGTAACCGACATGAAACTGCCCTGGGACAAACTTGTTGGATTTGTAACAGATGGAGCGCTGGTGTTGTGTGGTGAAAAAAGTGGACTAGTCAGCAGGATGCGAGTAAAGATGCAGGAGAACTGTACCGGTGAGTTAACAGCATATCACGGCATCATACACCAGGAAACGCTGTGTGGTAAAGTCCCAAAAATGGAGCATGTAATGATCACCGTAACGCAAACCGCAAATTTTATCCGAACTAAAAGTTTAAATCACTGTCAAATTCAGTCTTTTGTGTGGGAAATAAATTCAGAGTTTACCGACATTCCTTATCATACAGAGGTCCGCTGGCTGAGTTGGGGAAAAATTCTCAATAGAGTTTTTGAGCTCAGCAAGGACATGGACATGGCATGTATGATGCGGTGAAGCTGTCACAAATGCACCAGTGCAACCTGCCTCACTTTCCCTGTTGCCAAGTAATGTTGAACCAAGTCAGCGCAACAATGTTCCCAAATGCGCACTTTGCTGATAAACTGAGCGCACTGAGTTTGCGGCGCTTTGGTGACTTTGAAGCACAAAATGAGAATTTCGAGCTGCTTCACAACACCTTTACAGTCTACGTAGAAACTGCACCTGTGCAGATTCAGATGGAGCTGCATTCTAATGGGACACTATAAATATCTTTTAAGAAGACTCTTAAACTCAGAAAGAGAAGAGGCCTGTCTAACGTGCAAGGGCAGATCATTCCACAACTTTGGAGCAGCTACAGCAAAAGCGCGATCACCTTTAAATTTATACTTAGTTTTCAGTACCTTAAGGAGCTGCTGATTGGCGGACCTAAGGGAACGGGCAGGTGTATATAGTTGTAGTAGCTCCGAGAGGTGGGGTGGGGTGGGGGTGGGGGTGGGGGGGCAGGCCATTAAGAGATTTAAAAACAAATGAGAGAATTTTAAAAACAATCCTAAAATGTACAGGTAGCCAGTGGAGTGAAACTAAAATGGGGGGTAATGTGCTCAGACTTGCTTGTTCCAGTTAAAAGACGTGCTGCAGCATTTTGCACAACCTGCAGACGCCTAATGGATGCATCACTAACCCCACAATAAAGTGTGTTACGATAATCCAACCTACATGTAACAAAGGCATGGATTACTGTCTCAAAAAGCTGTTTTGATAAGATGGGCTTTATTTTGGCTAATTGCCTCAAATGAAAAAAGCTAGATCTTACAACAGCTCTGACCTGGCTTTCAGGTTTAAGATCTGCCTCCATTTTAACTCCCAGATTAGTGATGACTGCTTTAGCATACTGTGCCAGCAAACCAAGATTTATAGCAGTGGTCTCAGAAGCACCACCAAAAACCATCGCTTCTGTTTTCGGCTCATTAAAATGTAAAAAGTTCAAAGTCATCCAGGCCCTTATTTCATCAAGGCATCTGAGTAGAGGGTCTACTGAGAAGCCATTTATCTTTTTAAGTGGGAAATAAATCTGGGAGTCATCAGCATAACCATGTTTCCTGAAAATAGAGCCAAGGGGTCGGAGATATAGGAAGAAAAACAAGCGTGCCTAAAACTGAACCCTGTGGGACCCCACATTGAAGAGAAGCAGCAGAGGATACAAACTCACCAAGCTACTCACTCATACAGAAACATCTGTGCTGAATATGGCCTTGAAGTCCCGAGGTCAAAATGGGAGACGCCCCCAAGGGTGGTGGAGAATGACCGAGCTAAGATCCTGTGGGACTTCCAGATACAGACGGACAAAGCGGTGGTGGCTAACCAACCGGACACCGTAGTGATAGATGTAGCGGTTCCAAATGACAGCAACATCAGGAAGAAGGAACACGAGGAGCTAGAGAAGTACCAAGGGCTCAAAGAAGAGCTCGAGAAGATGTGGAGGGTGAAGGTAACAGTGGTCCCAGTGGTAATGGGAGCACTAGGTGGAGCAAGTCCCAAGCTAGGCGAGTGGCTCCAGCAGATCCCCAGAACAACATTCGAGATCTCTGTCCAGAAGAGCGCAGTCCTTGGAACAGCTAAGACACTGTGCAGGACCCTCAAGCTCCCAGGCCTCTGGTAGAGGACCGAGCTTGAAGGATAGACAACCCACAAGGGCGAGAAGGGAATTTTTTATATGTATATATAAAAATATATAAAAAGAGGTGGAAATCAACAGACACCCCATGTTACGATATTATAACAATAGTACTGCAATAACATATATTGCATATATTGCTGTAGATTATGTCTCAGACAGGCAGAGTTTCAGACCCAAAGTGCATACATGCAGGCAGGACTGAACTTAGTTTTATTGTTGGATCTACTGAGAAATAAAAAACCAGGGAGGCTAACTGACAAAAACAAAACAGACATAGCAGTACAGCGATTTACCACACAGACAGGGCACACATCAAGAGAGAGATCACAATGATTGACAGAGTAAAACACAAATAATATATACAAAAGGGGAAATCACAGCAAAGAGGAGAGACCTGGGGAACACAGCAGGTCATAATCTAACAGACGAGAAGGGGGAAGCAAAACTGAACACACTGAACATGGGACAAGAGACTGTCAAAATAAAACAAGAAACACACCAAGATGCAGACTAAGACATGGGGCTTGACACAGGGGCCATGATGAAGGAACACACACAGGAACAAGAGAGACTCGGCAAACATGAATACAAAATAACTCAAAATATTAGAGGAGCAGAACTCAACCCTAAAACATACTAATAAAGCAAAGCGTCATAAACCTAAAGGAAAACTCAAAAAGCTGTGTCACAAACCCCAAACCATGACACATTCTGGAATTTTGAAAAACTTTGGCTTATTCAAAGTCATCTTCTCTGGCCATGGTTCTGAACACTTACACTGTGCGCTCAACAGTTTCACCCACCTCTCAAAACTCCACAGTTAACATCAACGTCCCTCAAACTGACCGTAGTTTTCAAGGAGATGAGATACCCACTCATGCAGCTGCGCATCACGTGAATGCTGAAAAAATACAGAGCACAGGCTGCCAGAGCAGCAGTACTGTGCATCATTACCTGCTGACTTTCTTCATAGCAGAGCTGTCTGGTTCCCTTTATTTGCTGTATCAGTTTCTCTTTGTGTTTCTCTAATTTAACTAGTGTCTCCTCCAGCTCTTTGCGGTCTGACCTCTGCTCCTGAAGTTCCAAGTTTTCCACTGCCACTGCGCTCTCCAGCTCCTACATCACACACAAAGACACAGTTAAAATCTGCAGAACGATATAAATGCTGGGATGATGAAACATTCACACACACAAAGTGCAGGTGAAAAAACAAAATTACGAAAATACACCAGCCCAAGTTACTGTACAGAGCTTTTCCCTTTGCTTGGTTGGTTTTTGTTCTGGCACCAGAAATGGCACTTCCCCTTTTTTAAAGTTCATAGAGAAGTCACCAAAATCTGAACATTTCAAGGACCAGGACATTTGGCAATCCAGACTTGCGCTGAACACGTGTGTGTTTACAGCTTCATGTTTGTGAGACTAGTCCTACAGCATCATGACATCACATGAGAGCATCATGGGAAATGCAGTGATGGAAGGGTCCCAAACTGGAAACCTTACAGCCACACACATGCATAAAAATGATATAGGTACTGTCCAAATGATCTCACAAATAACAGAAAACGTGATTTCGACAAAAAACACAGACACACACAGACACACAGATTCAAACACACACACCAGTGCTAGGTGCTGTGGTCTTCTTACTCTGATCTCGGCCGTCTTGGCAAGGATTCTCTCATCAGTCTCCATGATGTCGGCGTCCCTGGGAGATGACCAGCAAAGTAGACAGGAATGTTTAAGGAGGGATGAGAGAGAGCATTCGTTCTTCCAGTCTGCTTTTCCTTCATCATGCCCTCCTTCCCACGATCCCTCTATTTTTTCCTGCTGCACTGCTGGCTCCTCCATTGCTGCCCCTCTCTAGCTGTCGCTACACTGCAGAGGAGGCGGAGCTCCCTCTGTTAACGTGTCAGCGTCTGCACGCACGTGTGTGTGTGTGCTGGAAAATGCACACAGGCAGACTGCACCAGCGTGGAAGATGAGTCAGACCAGAGAAGGGTAGAGCCGACTTATGCATCAATGGAAGAACGCCCGCTCCTGTACAAGTCTCCATCCTTCATGTTTTCCTCCTCCTCAGTTTCCTGCCATACCACTGTTTCCTTCATATCCTTCTCTATACTCTCCCCCTCTCCATCACCACTGGCCTCTGCAGTATGATCAGTTCATACACAACACACAGTGTGTGTGTGTGTGTGTGTGTGTGTGTGTGTGTGTGTGTGTGTGTGTGTGTGTGTGTGAGAGAGAGAGAGAGAGAGAGAGAGAGAGCCATCCAGCAGCAGTCTGCACAGCCAATCAATATCAATCAATATTCATTCTGCCCTACTTCATTAGCCAGCCGCACTGGTGTTTTCATCAAATAGTTTTCAAGAGCACAAATACAACCATGCAAGCAAAAGCAATGATCTTGGGTGAAGGGGTACTCTGAGAATAGGTGCATTGCCATTTTGTAGGTACTACTCAGATCATCAGCTACCTCTCATGTAATTCTGTGTAGTTACTCCTGAACAGCTAAAGTTTCAATAGGATGATGGCTTTATCTCCCACATAGTTTGTGCACTTAATCAAAATAGAGCTAGAACGAAGCACTGCAATGTGCTACCAAAGTCAAAATGCAAAATTGTTCAGGTATGTACAGTTTGGATGCTGCTCCTCTACAAGCAGTTACAGGTAGAGTAAAACAGTTCATCAGCCAATAAAATGTCCCCCTATTTGGAGTAAATAACTTTACTTTGTGTGGTTAGCATGTTCTGGGATTAGGTTAACCTGGAACTCCTTTTCTCTCAGGTCAAGCTAAGATTTAGTAACTGATTTGTGCTTTTTTGATTACTTTGAATCACCCGTGTTGCCGTCTGACCAGAATGAAAATAGCAGCCATTTCTGCAGAAAACAGCACATGCAGAGAAATAATGAGGTGATAACAGAAAGGAGATAGGACCAGATCAGAGACACAGATGGAGGAGGGGAGATAAAGCCACAGGACAGTACTCTCACTGTTACCATCAGAGGCTTGCGATGGTTCAGGGAAGTGCACGTAAAAAAGCAGAGGTGCTGTTATTAACAACAGATAGTGTTGTTGTAATAGTTCAGCATCTTTAAAAAGAAGAAAAATGTAGCAATGGGTTTTGGTCATTCCTTATAAAACCTGTTACAAATTACAGTTAAAGAATCTTAACCATGCTTAATTGGACTCATTTCTCAAAGATCGTGCAACTAAAAGGCATCTGTAATTTGATACTGTAAAGTCCCATTTTTGGGGATCAAAACAGTTCTCAGTGTGGCTTTTCATTGAACAGCCACTACCATTGCTCTAAACTTTGTCCAGCACTTGAAGTGCTTCCTGATTTGATTCCTTTTCTTATATATTGCAATATCTGGGGCTTGTTTGTGTTCCTTATTTTCCCCCTCAGTCTCTGACTGACCTACCTCCTGCCAGGTTTTAAACTGAGAGGAAAGATATATGCTCATAAACAGACTTTTGGGAGACTTGATGCTAAATTCAAATTAATATTAAAAAAGAGAAAAAAACCCTTAGTTTAACTGAGGCTCCTGTTTGTTCAATTTCCCAAAAGAGTGAATTCCTTTCAGACTGGTGAACTACACATCCGAAGTGGCCGGCTGTTCATGAAGTTGCAAATTGCAGCATGCTACAGTCTGTCCAAGGTATCTTCCGTGCTCTGCTCAACATCTGCATTTTTAATGTGCTGTAAAATGGACTAATCTTGTTTAAAGTGATCGAGAAATGTAACTTTGTTTCCCTAAAGCTTATATATATCTCAAACCGGGAACTGTTTTGTACTTTTTGTTCTTTGTATGATCAACTTTTTTTTGTCAGTTTGGCTTCATGGAGCCTATTAAACAAATTGTGGAAAATCAAAAAACAAAAAAACAAAAAACAACAGATAGTGCCATCCTGGAACATTTGCTCCCTTCATGTCAGCTACTCAGCTGCACCCACACTACATGCTTAGGAATCCTGTGTCATGCTACTTATGTTTCCAACAACAACTATGTCATTTGACATCCTTGACACAGCATTCATAAGCATGTAGTGTGGTAGTGTTGTCCTGTTGTGTACTGGTTATAGAGGACAAATCATTTTTTCTAGCTTTGCTACTCTAAGTAGTCGCGCATCATCACGGTGACACCCCAGGAAGTGAAAGGAAGCTTCTAACGTTGTTTCCTTCCACTTAAAACACTTTAATTGTTTTGAAACATGATTTAATTTCATTTTCATTGCTCACCCCTGCTGCCAACCCAACCACAACCTGATGTCATTAACGCCACAGGACATAATTTCTTGTATTGTCCTTTTAGTTCGAGTAGTGTAAAAAAACAATGTTCCTTTCCTTCACATTCTCCTAATTCCTGAAATTATAGCCAAGGCTGTCTCAGCAGCTGCCTTTAACTAGCTAGGCTACAGTCCCTGCAGCTTACTCACTTTGACTGATGTTTTTAGTTCTTATGAGTCTTCCATGATGTTTTCTCCATAAATAATTAAACCCTTTGTGGTACAAGCCTGATCAAATGTAATGTAAGAGATGTAAGTCACTGTAAGTTATAGTTTGCTTGTCAATTCATCAGATTTGTTTGAGAAGAAGTTTCACTGTGTGATCAATTTCTAATGTACAGCTATCCTCTATCTACACACACACGTCTATCTTTGTGCTGCTGTCCATGACTGCAACTACAGTGCTCTATCTAATATTCACACACATTCATATTCTGATAGATGCATTGGAGAGTAATGTGGGCATAGCAGGTTGCGTAAAGATGAGCGAGTTCGGTGTGGAAGAACTTGCACAGTGAGAAGAATGAGCGCTCATCTCAACCCGACAGACCACCTTTGGTATGAATGTGGGCCTGGCCTTCTTGTCTGATCTCAGTTAGAAACACTTCTAAAAGAATGGACAAAAATTCCCACACACTCCTAAACCTTGTGGAAAGCTTTCCCAGAAGAGTAGAAACTGTTATAGCAGCAAGGGTGGCCCGCCATCATATTAAACCCTATGGATTAAGAATGGGATGTCACTCAAGTTCATATGTGTGTGAAGGCAGATGAGTGAATACTTTTGTGTTTTATCTGAGATGTTAACAATTTAAACATAACCATATTTTTAAAAAGGGGGTTTTATATAACCATTTGATAAATACTTGTAAGTAGGGCTGGGTATCGTCACTGATTTCTAGAATCGATTTGATTCCGATTCACAAGGTCCCGATTCGATACATTTGTTCAGAAGCCTATTGAGCGGCAGAAATGAGGCTTTCTTGTTGGAAGTAAGTAAAAGGAAAACACAGCGGCCCACAGGCTGTAAACAACGGTAGACTTGTGCGTAACAAGCAAGCGAATAATGCAGAAAACAGATTTGTAGACGGGAAACTGTTCTTGAAGTACAGAGAGAGAGAGAGCTCTGTATGAAGTGTGATTTTATCCTGGTGGAAGCAAAACAGGAAAAGTCAGAGGGAATTCATGACGATGTTTGCGTGAAGCGTAGTTTGGATCTTCTTTTGCTGCTGGTTCAGTCAATATTGGAGAGAGATAAAACCTGCAGCTTCAGAATCAGCGCAAAGAGGACGTAAACACAAAGCGCGGAGCCGCCGACGGATCAGAATCAGCTCGCGCTTTGCGTTTACGTCTCAGTGCAGAATCCGTGTTCCTGCTCTCCTTCACTGTTTTAACTGTTTGGTGGTTGTTGAAATTTTCTGAGGTTTAACCTGAGGACAAAATAAATTTATATTAAAAAATCGATTCAGGATTTTAATGAATCGATATCAGGTTATTAGGGGTGGGTTTTTATAATCGATTCATCGATTAAAATCGATTCTGGCCTGGATAACGTAAAATCGATTCATTAAAATCCTGAATCGATTTTTTTATATAAATTTCTTTTGCCCGAAATGCCAGAATCTCTGGTGAAACCTCACAAAATTTCAACAACCACCAAACAGCTAAGACAGTAAATGAGAGCAGGAACACGGATTCTGCACTAAGACGAAAACACAAAGCGCGACCCGCGGATCAGAATCAGTGAGATGTCGCCTTTCTCACCCGACGGCACGGACACGGTCGGGGCTGAAAGCCGACAGCTCGCTGATTCTGATCCGTCGGCGGCTCCGCGCTTTGTGTTTACGTCCTTTTTGCGCTGATTCTAAAGCTGTTAGTTTGATCTCTCTCCAAACAATATTGACGAACCAGCAGCAAAAGAAGATCCAAACTACGCTTCACATAAACATCGTCATGAATTCACTCTGACTTTTGCTGTTTTGCTTCCACCACGATGCACAGCTCTCTCTCTCTCTGTACTTCAACAACAGTTTCCCGTCTAAAAATCTGTTTTCTGCATTATTCGCTTGCTTGTTACGCACAAGTCTACTGTTGTTTACAGCGCTGTGGGGTTTGTTTGTTTTTTCGTTTTACATACTTGCGAAAAGAAAACCTCATTTCTGCTGTTCAATATTGAACAAATTTAAACTTTTTAAAATGATGCAAAATGCAAAACGCCGTGTCTCTAATCAAACCGCTGTAACGTCAGAGGTGATGTTCATATGTTGATTAATGGTTTTCTTTCGTTTTTGATGTACTGCAGAATATTTTTATAAAATCCCAGAACAGGAAAATCACCTTCATGTTTAAATGTGTTTTATCTTCAGCTACTTTGACACAAAGGCCTCTGCTGTGATGCTCACACCTTTGATAAAGTCTTGCGTGTGTCAGCTTCCTTTTCATAGATACAAAAATATGTAAATGTGCTGATCTGAATTATAATATTTCTGACTGTCAAAATTTCCCAGATTCAAATCGAATTGAATCAAATCGAATCGAATTAAATCGTGGATCGAATCGATTTGGGACCTTGTGAATCGGAATTGAATCGATTCTAGAAATCAGTGACGATACCCAGCCCTACACGTTATCCAAGCTAGAATCGATTTTAATCGATAAATAGATAATCCAAACCCAGCCCTACTTGTAAGTGTTACAGTTGTTTTGTTTTATGTGGATTCAAACACACAATTATGAGTATGTCAAAATTAGATATCTTTTTATTCTCAATCTTAATCTGCTGCTAAAACTATTACAATGCTGTTGTTGTAGCGACTACCAGCTACTAGAAAACTGATGCGTTGCATTAGTGGGTTATTTATCACCAGGAACATTAAATTAGTACAATTAATTTCACTTTGATCTGCCAAAGTCGTCTCCACATCCCGCTCCGCTTTTACATGTGCAAAAACAAAGAGCATTTCTCATCACGTGTCAGCATTTTCACATTCTGTACATCTGGGTAAGTATGTCAGGACATGTCATATACACAGTTACAGTTATGTATATGATATTATAAAAGCCTACTACAAACTACTTGCCTAAGGACTGGAGAAACATGTGTCAGTCTTCTGGAGTCTACATTAAGACAGAAATGAGCACTGAGCGCAGAGAGTAAGTGTTGCTGTTTTACCCTCCATCCTTGGGGGTTCTCGCTCGCAGCGTCCTCCGACACTCCACAATAAACCGCATCATTGCTGCAGCAGCAGTGTTACTGGCCGAGCGTCAGCCCAGCCTCCTCACTCCTTGACTGAGCGGTCACTCCTGCGTCAGCAGCAGACACTGACAAGGAAATAAACAGGATTTCCTGTCCGACCTTTCAAAATAAGACCAGGCCGTGACAAACCTGCGCTGGATTTTGGACTCGATAAAACAGCACTGAAGTGTAAAGTTGGCGTTTGGCTGTTATGACTGTCCTCCCAAGCGGCCCACCTGTTGTACTGAGTCCAGTTCATGCTTTCTGACCCTGACCCACAGCTGTGGAGAGAAACGTCTCTCATATGAGAATTTTTCTTTAGTCTTGTTGGGTCCACAGAAGTCTCCACGGTGGTTTAAGCAGTGGCGGAGCGGGGTGGCTTACTGGGCTCAAGCCCAGGTTGTTTTTTCAGTCTTTTGGAGTGTCATTTTTTCAGTTAGATGCCTGGTTGACAGCTGTATAAAACAAAAACTACACACAATATTCGAAGCGCATGTTGTTCAGTATATTTCTACGCAAAACAAGAGGAATTTCAACCCACAGCAGTACATTCACAGTTGAAACCAGATATTTACATACACTTTATGGAAAACACAAGAACATTTTTTTACTGTACAACATCAATTTAGAGTAAACTTGTTTTAGATAAATAAATATTGAAATATCTTTTGAATTAGTTAAATGTCAGAATAAAGAGAGACAGAGCTTCTATTTTAATCATCAAATGTAGGAGCACATGTACACTAAGTTTATTGTTAATTAATAAGAAAACTCCAGACGATTCCATTCTGAGCTGCAGAAGCTTCTGATTGGTTAGTAGAGTCCATGTGAGTAAATTGGTGGCACAGCTGTGGATGCATATAAGGCAAAACACAGAGCCTGTTTCTGTGACATGGGAACATCAGGAGATGTCAACAAAACACCAGGAAGAGAACTGTGGAGCTCCATAAGTGTGGCTCAGTTTGAATACAATTTGGTGCCGTTTACAATTAAGAAATACAGACAGTTTATCTCTTTACTCTTAAAGTTAACAAATGTGTTTTTTATATTTATCAATCTAAAAAATAAACATTTAGTCTGATTTGATGTTACAATTAAAAAAGTGTTTGTGTTTTGATCTGAGGAGTTTGTAAATATCTGGTTTCAACTGTATATTTGATGATGTTGGTGTTTGGCTTGATTGTCAGCACAAAGAGGGAGAGAGATGAGAATGATTCTCCAAAAGTTGATTCTGTTCATCTGGACGCAGCGTTTTGTGGGAGAAACATTTCGTCACTCATCCAGTGACGTCTTCAGTCTCAGCTGACTGCAGGTTTCAATCTTATAAACAGTACATTTGCATAATGACTGAAAGCAGCCCACTGAAGGAGCAATGGGCGGGAGGTCAGTTCCTTAATCTTAATTATCCAAGAGATGAGAAATTGCATAATTATGGGTTGCCTCTGGGTTTAAGAGCAACTTTTGTGTCTCACTGACACAGGATCAACAATGATGTCAAGCGAACTGTCATTTCCATCGCTCTCACACTGCAGGCCTACTTGTTGTTCCTAGAGTATTTAAAAGCAGAATGGGAGGCAGAGCCTTCGGCTTTCAGACCCCTCTTCTGTGGAACCAGCTTCCAGTTTGGATTCAGCAGACGGACACACTCTTCGCTTTTTAGGCTTAAAACTATTCCTTTCCATAAAGCATATAGTTAGGGGTGGATCAGGTGACCCCGAATCCTCCTGTAGTTGCAATAGGTGTAGGCTGCTGGAGGATTCCCATGATGCACTGAGTATTTCTTCTTCACTCACCTGTGTTTATAGACCTCTCTGCATTTAATCATTAGTTATTATCAATCTCTGGCTCTCTTCCACAATGTGTCTTTTGTGCTGTCTTCCTCTCCTCACCCATCTGCCATCTGCCGCAACCAACCGCCCCGCCCCTCCCCGAGTCTGGTGGGGTTTCTTCCTGTTAAAAGGGAGTTTTTCCTTCCCACTGTTGCCAAAGTGCTTGCTCATAGGGGGTCATATGATTGTTGGGTTTTTCTCTGTGTGTATTACTGTAGGGTCTACCTTACAATGTAAAGCACCTTGAGGTGACTGTTGTTGTGATGTGGCGCTGTGTAAATAAAATTGAATTGAATCTAGCAAAATTTATTTTAAAGCTGACATTAAATTTTCTGATACATTTTTCTTCCTCTGGCTCACCTACACCACAGTTGTGCATAGTTGTGTGGGGCGATCGTGGCTCAAGAGTTAGGAGTTCGCCTTGTAATCGGAAGGTTGCCGGTTCAAGCCCCGGCTTGGACAGTCTCGGTCGTTGTGTCCTTGGGCAAGACACTTCACCTGTTGCCTACTGGTGGTGGTCAGAGGGCCTGGTGGCGCCAGTGTCCGGCAGCCTCGCCTCTGTCAATGTAGCTGCCATCACCTGTGTGTGAATGTGTGTGTGAATGGGTGGATGACTGGATATGTAAAGCGCTTTGGGGTCCTTAGGGACTAGAAAAGCACTATACAAATACAGGCCATTTACCATAGTTTAAAATCAAATGAGCAAAATTGTCCTTTATTCCACAGAAAATGATGGACAATTTTTCTCAAATTGAATGCAGCAAAAGTATAAACTCAGTAAAAATAATCCTTGATAGTTGATGTGAAATTGTGTGTCTGTTTGTCTTAGTTACCAATTTATTTTGATGGTATTGAGTTTAATTTGCGCGTCTTGATAATCCCGATTTGTCCCATTGTGTGTTCCTCGGTGTTCCCCTGTCTAGACCCCCGTTCTCCTCTATGTAAGTTAACCTTACCTTAGAAGACGGGGTGTGTGACAGATGAGACAGCACAACTGCTGAATCAGACACACAGAGGTCACACAGTCCAGAAGGATCTCTAATAATCCGTCACAGCTTCATCGTCATCATCATTTTTATTTATTTATTTTTTAAAATCCTGCCCTATCTGTCAGCTTTTGTGATCAGAATTATGGTCTGAAATCACCAACTGCCGCACCTGTAAGAAAAGCAAACATGCAAAAATGCACAGACACATAAATCAACAATCTTCTTGTGGAGTGTGTGAGCGTGAGAAAGAGAAAGAGAGGGAATGTCGGGTGTGAGTGTCTTTCTCTTTGAAAATGAAGGTGGAAGTCGAAATAACCCCCCAGGAGCCAAAAGCAGACAGAAATGGATCCGGGAGAACCGGGCCGAATGAGCAGGCTGCAGAGGAAGTTTCAGGTAAGTGAGGAGAGCTTTGCTGGAGTAATGTGAGACAAAGCAAAATCTCATTAACAGTTAACATTGCGCACCACTGAAAACATTTCAGCCACTAAATTTATCTGCCAGTTTATTCTATGACAGCTTTTACGGTTACAGCAGGAATTATGCTTACATTCCAACCAACTTCAGCCTGGAGGACCAGAGCGGTGAAGTTCTGGCAACTCCCTCCAGCAGCAAAGGAACGCCATCCCCGAAGTAAACCCGCCCTGGACATGCACGGGAGCCAGCTTATATATAAAAGACATCTTAACCATATATGAAAATATTTCTCTTTAACATATCTCAGGCTTCAAATCTGTAGGTGTTGCCACCATCTGCTTGGTCCCAACCGAGCACCTTGAGGCAACTGTTGTTGTGATCGAGCGCTGTATTAATAAAATTGAATCTGCTTGGCCTTTTCCTTTGTTTTGTTCATTTTCTTTTCTGTCTCTACCATGTGGTAGTTCAGACATTTTTATTCGTTTTTTTTTTAAATTTCTTCTTTCTCTTGATCTTCCTTTTTCCTGTTTCGATGCACACGATGCTGGAGGTGATCATCCACAAGTTGTCCAATCCCACACCTCCTTCTAGGGTTTCCTGCAAGTCCTGAAATATCTGGCCTCCCGCCCGGATCAACCTTCCAAAGCTTAGCTGCCCTCTTTAGATACTCTGGAATCAACTCAGTTGGTTGAAGCTCTACACACAAACACCTCCTTCTATTTTTTTCTTCCCACCTTACATTTCCCACTGACAGACATCTCTGTCTATCTGCCATACCCTGTTAGGGTTTTTCTCCATGTTTTTGTTGTTGTTATTACTGTTTCCCAACATTTTGGAGGCACAGCACACTCCACCAAACAAAAACGTCACAAAAAGGACATTGATCATTTTCCCCCGCACACCAGGTATAGAGGAATTGGCTCGGTTTGATCCCAGTATACCTTTTTTGCTTTCTTCTGACCACTACTCATGCTAGGGTCTTCATCTGGGTTGGATTTTCTCCAGGGCAGGGCCAGACTGACTACTTACTTATCTATTGCTATTACACACTGCGTCATCTCGCAGCATGACTATTATGTAATTGCTTCTTTGTCTTCTTCTCTTTTACTGGCAGTTGGCAACCCATTTAATTAGAGCAAGTAGTCGTCGTCCCCTAGTGGAGGAGAATGTAATTGTTCTCCCTGGTGGAACCAGATAATCTTCCACGGTTGGGAAACACTGTTAGGTCACTCAGAGTGGCTCTTGGGTGGTTGCACTGCCTTATTCACCTTTCACATCTTTTCTGTTCTCCTTCTGCACTCAGCGTTATGTGTGCTCTGCCTTCAGTGCTGCATTTTACCACATAAACATACATCCATCCCAAACACACATACACACACCAATATACAGCCATACAAGATACACACACACACAAAACTTTAGTGAACATTCAACACTTCACCAGTCAGTTTAAACATGAACATACTGAGGTTTGTCACATGGAATATATGTGTGGATGGTTGCAGGGAATAGAATCTTAAAATTACTAATCGATTTAATAACTTACAGGCAGATGTTGCTTTTCTGCAGTGCACTCTAATGTCCAAAACATCTGTACACACAAGTCTCACGTTCTCAGCTGGTTACAACTCAAAACAAAGAGGCGTAGCCATATTAATTAACAGAAAAAGAGTCACACCAACAATTAGAACAAGAATTAAAGAACAAGAGTTAAAAAAAAATGAATGGGCACTGTATTTAGATAACAATGACCATGTGTTCT